AATCAGGATCTCAAAGAGATATATGCACTTCCAGGCTCACTGCAGCTTTATTCACAAAAGCCAAGATCTGGAGACAAACTAAATGTCCATCGACAGGTGAATGGATAAGGAAGATGTGGTATATACATACAATGGAATATTCAGCCTTTAAAAAGACGGAAATGCTGCCATATGTGTTGACGTGGTTGAGCCTGGAGGACATTATGCTAAGTGAAATGAGCCAGTCACAGAAGGACAAATACTGCCCGATTCCACTTATGTGAGATATCTAAAATAGTCAAACTCATAGAAACAGAGAGTAGAATGGTTATTTCCAGGTGCCAGGGGGAGGAGGAAACGAGGAGCTGCTGTTCAATGGGTATAAAGTTTCAGTTATGCGAGACGAATAAGTTCTAGAGACCTGCTGTGCAACATCGTGCCCGTAGTTTACAAGACTGTATTGTGCACCTGAAAACCTGTTAAGAGAATAGATCTCATATTAAATGTTCTTACCACGATAAAGAAAAAGTTAACTTGAATAGTAGAAGAGATTGGATCTATCATTCTCATGGAACTATTCAACCTACTGAAAGATGTCCTATGAGGCAAGTGAAGTTGTTTCATGTTTTTGATAAACTCATAACTTGATACTCTACTGGAGTCTTCTTTAAAAATATTCTGTCTTCCTAAGTCATGGACTGATATCTTCTTGGAGGTGATTGCCTGATGGTCAATTGAGTATGTCAAGTTGGTGTGTGTTTGTGGTGAAAGGTAGTAATGTTCTTGGGGCCATCTACGTTTTAAAATAATCGGAAAATGTAGATATAAATTATACATTCCTTTAAGAGCACAAATGAATGCGGTCAAGAAGTCATGGGCTTTGGGGAGTATCCTACCAATGGTTAAAGGGTTTTTCTGTTCTGTGCATATGTTCTCATCTAGTTTCCCTATAACTGGGGATGTGCACACTTTGGTGGTTGGCTGGACTCATTGCTGTCATCTGCTGGTGTGAAATGGTTTGAATCCAGCTTGTTAATATAGCAGTTGAATTTTTTGGTTTGCATTTCTTTAGTTCCTATCCTCCAACTAGCAACCTGACCTGCCACAGATTACAAATTTCCTGAAAATTAAACTGTAAAATGATTTAAATGCTATTTTGAGATGTGTCCAATATCCTGAAACATGTTAGTCGATTATGTATTTCTTAAGATAGCATGCTGCCTAAAAACATAAGCAAAATAGTTTGAAGATGATGCTAGTCTGCAAGTAAAACATAAATAATGGATTGTACATTTACCTGGCAACGTGACATTTAAAAGAAGCCAAGATTAAAAAGAAAAATGAGCATCTATGGATGTCAGAGAGAAGCGACTGCAAAGACTGCCATTCGTGTGCTACGTGTTCATCTATTTAGTGGAGATACGCTCCTTTGTCCTAGGAAATGCTGTATCGTCTCTCTGTCATGGGTTAAAATTAGCCCCCCGCCCACACACACAATTTACAATGTACTTTTAAATAACCCAGGGCCTCACTGGAAGCAAGATATCTTTTTAGCTAAATATTTTTTGAAGGTGGATGAGATGGTGATTGACTCGAGAGGTTGGTGGAAGGCTTAGCAGGCATTCCTAGGATTGCAGGCATGTCTGATTTCATTTTACAAAGCAATTTAAAATAGAAAGCACAGAATTAGTCTGTCTACGAGCTTTACTATTGCCTGGTCATCCAGCTGTGATGGGGAGGCCAGAGCAACGGCAACCAGGGCATTCAGAATACTCAGCAGGATGTCTTCTTATGAGTCTTTCGCTGGGGCCTTCAAGTTAGAAAAGCTCCGTTTATCACAGAATTGTCTAAGAAAGTCTTAAGATCCTTACACTGTTGTACCCAGATCTGAAATTCTAATTTAATTGGTTATTGCAGTTTTAAATGAATTGTTAGGAATTTGAAACTTCTTTCATTGATATTGTTTCTTTACCATCTTCTACTAAGGTTTTGATGGGCTGTCTTGGAATTAGGACACAGATTTTACCTTATATAAAGAAGATCATGTGGTTCCTTCTGGGGACACAAAGAAAACAAAGAAAAACAAAATAACCAAGTAGTTAAAATTGAGGATAGATTATGCTTTCTACAACTCAAGTTTTGAACTTCTAGGCTTCTCCACCACTTGGCGTGAATAAAAATAAGATCATTTTTTTATTGTCTTTGGAGTAAATACTCTCAATAAAAGAAATCACATATTTGCAGCAGGTGTTCCCTGGAATTCAAGATTATCTGGGCATGAGTCAAGGACTTGTGAGCCCACCGTACTAAGTGGATATTTAAATGCAGAGTAGTTACCTGAGTAATCCCTACTGAAGAAATTGATCCTAAGGGAAGAGAGAACAAGAGGTCAGATAAATTACTCAATGGCTGGTGCAAGTCCACGGACTGGTGTAAAAGGGGAGGAGTTATTCTAAGTGTACCCAGTCGTCATAATTCTATATCAGCCTCAACGTGTTTCTAAGCCCTAAGGAAAGAAGTTATAAGAATGAGAAAGAGCGATTTCATGAAAATATCTATGAGATTTGAGCACACATACTGGCCATTACGCTGGTGCCAGCAAACTGGTGGCTTCAGAGAGCAACTTCCTTAGCCAATAGCACCCTCAGCACGGGGCATGGACAGCTGCTGAGCATTGGTGGCCTTGGAACACGAGTCAGTAGACATTAGCAGCAGTATCATTGCCTCTGGGAGGGAGCACATGGCAGACTTGGTGCAGCCTTATTGCCCACTCTCCTGGGAACTGTTACGGGATCAGTGGGCATAGGCAGGAGTGATGGCAGCTTCTCTGGGCATTGGTGATTTTGACTTCATCAAGTTTAATTGGCATAAACTGCCATTTTTGGTGTAAACAGTTGTGGAAGCTGGACCACGAAGGAAGGCATTGTAAAGCACATGTAACAGACTCCTGGGGAGGTAACCAAGAATTGGAGAAGGGTTCAAGGGAATTCTCTTAGAGTTACTACAGAATTGTGCGGGTGGAGCCAGTGTTGTAGTCTTGTGTCTCTAGTTGGGACCCTCCTTTTGTCCCAGGTCAGAACAACCTGAGAGTGAGATTTGACTTGTTTGGGCCAGATATTCAGCTTAAATTTTGATGTTTTGAAGTTTTTGGTGTTTAGAGGAAACCAGTAAATATTGAGAAAGGAGAAATGTAAAGCTCTTTTCCTTTTGTTTTCTTTCCACCTTCCTTCTATTCACGTTGAAATCTTTAAAATTTCTTTAATTTCAAGATTTCCAGCCTAATTTTGCCTTAAAAAAAAGCTTTCATAAAAGTAAATATTCCGTGTATAGTCTTTCCACAAATGTACAAAGAATATAAATGAGGACGAGTTTTATTGAAGGCCTACAGGCCAAAGCCAACTGGATAGATCCTTTAAAAAGACATTATGGCTGTTACTCTGGAAATTGAGTGTCCTTATTTTCCATTCTGTCATTTACTCCTCAGTGGCTCAGCTCCATGTTGATTGTTAGAATCAAACGTCACCTCCGACTTTGGCAAACAACTGCTCTATTTGGTTTAGGGCTAAAGCCTGTTCTGGCAAAGAAGATGGATCTGCTCCTTCCAGATGAGAAGGTTTGGATGGAAACGGTGTGGCTGTCTGCCAGAGCTGCAGGGATCAGAATGAAGGCTGAGGACACATACCCTGTGAGCTGGACCCAAGAGTACAGATGAAATCGATAGACTTGGGAGTGTGCTAAAGGATCAAACACGGAGCTCTCAAGCCAGCAAAATCCAATCATAGAACAATTGCATAGTCTTGGACCTAAGTAGGTTGCATCATATCCCCTGAAAATACTTACACATGGCAAAGGTCAGTTATAGATCAGTTCTCTTATCAGAGGAGTATTAGCCTGGTTCTTTATAAAACTCCCTGTCCATATATGATACTTGAGGATAAAGATAATAGAAATAGTAATTTATTATTACTGCTAGAAATATTTCGGATAATATTATATTACTTTAGCTATTAAGTAGCCATTATGAATCTACTAGCTTCTCACTTATGTGTTTGCTTAATAAACTTCTATGTGTACAGCATTGTGTAATGGCAGATAAAAATGAAACAAGAAATGACATTCCCTGACTTTGAGAAGACAGGATGTGCTTGTATAAATAACTTGAGGGTAAGGCACAGGCAATGTGTGTTAGAGATTTCAAAAGTTAAAGACAACTGTGAAGAAAAACGCAGGGGTGGGAAATGGTCAGCGAAGGATACTTGGATGTTTTGCACATCTTGAGGAAAGTGTTTGATCGTAGTTGGCGGAGAAGGGAGGATTTAGCTTTGCAAGCTGCTAAACATTAGCAGAACTGTGTAGGCAGTAAAAAGCATCTCGTATGGATTGAAGGTAAGGGAAGAGGCGGTGGGGAGCTTGCACAGTGGTTGGAGTGGTAGGAGAAAGACTGAGGGCTGAGAAGACCAGCCTAAAAGTGTTCTTGTTAAGGCTATTGGAAGGAAATATTGGATAGGTTGGATGGATCCATCTGATGGATGCTCTTAAATGTCTGGCAAGGACCTTTGGGTTGTTACTTACTCATTAGTTTGTTCATTCATTTATCAAATGGTCATGTGTTAGGCACTGGACTAGACATTGGAAATGAACAGGACCGATGCTGGCCCTATGGAATTCACATTGGGGAAAAGAGGGACAAAAACAGCTATTACAACATCATAATGGCTTTAAAAGAGGTCGGTAGAAAGTAGCTTGGTAACAAAGCAGAAAGCTTAATTTTGCCTGGAATGGAGGCAGGGCTGAAAAATCTTGGGAAAATATGCATAGTTAAGCAGATGGAACTGATGAAAAATATCTGAAGCAGATGAAACCGATGAAGCAGCCTGTGGAAGCTATTGAGGAACAATCCAGCCACCAGGCGAACAGAGTAAATCGGCAGTGACACGCACACTAGATTGTAATAGGGAGGAGGAGTCGGTCCAGCAGAAGCTGCCGCGACACACTCCAGGCTCAAGGAGAATGGAGTAAATGCTGTAACATAAACTGCAGTGGTGCCGCAAACAAGGAGGACAGCAGAAATACCTTAAAGATGCAGCAGAACTCAAGTGTGTGGTAGACCTAGGTTTGGGCTGCCGGAAAAAGCAGTGCTTAGAGCAGCTTGGCTCTTACAATTAGAAACTGCTGACGCTGTAAGCAGAGGCAAGCCCTTGGCTTCACTGCGAGAAGTCACACACTGTGTGGGAAAGGACTATTGGACTCCCACTCAAGTCCCCATTCGCAGAGACAGCACTCTTGGTCATTTCCTTTGCTGGTCCTCCAAAACCTCAGGCATTTTTTGTGCCTCTGAATCTGTGAATGTTTTACTCCCTTCCTCTTCTTCCCTCCAATGCCCTTGTTCTCCTGGAGAAATCGTATTCAGCCTTCAAATGTCACTTCTCTGCCACCCCAAGGAATTCCTCATTCCTGTAGGTAAATACCTCCACTTTGCATATAGCTCGCTTTAGCACTTATGTCTTTGTGTATTTAGTCATTTATATCCAGATCTTCACTATAGATTGTTCATTCTTCAAGGGCGGGGATTGTGTCTTATTTATAGCAAAAGCAGCATTGAGCCTGGTCTTGGCTTCGAGTCTCTGCTTTACCACTTATTAGCTCTGTGACCTTAAGAAACATGGTTAGTCTCTCTTTTACCACTTTCTTCATTTATAAAATAGGGCAAATAATATCAACCCATTAAGGTTACTAATTAAAAACTAATTATGATAATGTATGTAAAACAGCTGTCAGAGTCATTCATTCAAAAAATTCAATAAACATTAATTTTTTTCTTCTTTCTCGCCATGTATATTCTCAATGCTCACCACAGTAGCTGGTATATAGTAGAAACTTAATAAACTTTGGTTGAATTTACAACCTTTAAAGCTCACTGAGGGCTTGCCACATTTCAGGGATTCTAAGCGCTATAGGTGTATATTAACTCATTTAATACTCTCCATAACATGATGAGGAAAATACTAGTAATATTGTCATTTTCTTTATGAGGAAACCATGACACAAAGAAATAAGTACTTACTCAGGGAAGCCCAGAGAATAAACGGCAAAGGAAAGATTTGAGTCCAGGAAGATGCAACTCTGAGGTCCATGCTCTTACCTTAACCTTTATTCTACAGGTTGATTCTATGATGTTTGCATATGATGTTGAACCTTCTGGTAATTTTCTGCTGGTGATGATCTGGCCCATTCAGAGAGTTCCAAAAGTAGGATTGTCATATGCCTTGAACAAATCCATTCCTAGGATACTCCTAACAAGGACTTCTGAATACTCTTAAATTCTTGAGAAATTATTTCTTGTAAGAAAAATGAGCGAATTCTTTCTTTCATGGGAATTCCTCCACTAGTATGGATAGCCATTCACATTAGCCTATGAGTTAACTAAGTAACATATTCACCTAAGTCTTACTCATAAGTTGCTTAATTGTTGTTAAGCTATAGAGGTGTAAGGCATGGAATTCTCCTTCACAAGTAACTGTCTCCACCACCGCCACCACCACCAACTACCATTTACTGAGCTTCTATATGGTTGTCCTGTGACATAAGTCCTGCTACAGCTCCATTTTGCAGCTAAGAAAACTGAAGCTCATAGAGGTAACTAATTTGCCCAATTTCATAGCATCAGCAAATGTTTATACCTACGTGTTCCTGACTCAGATTCTATTGGGGAAATCAGAGCAACATAATGAGAGAAGCTGATGATGGCTCCATAGTGATGATGGCTCCTTAGTTTGTCTCAAAAGGAAAGAATAGAATGTATGTTATCAGTACTCTCCAGGGTAGAGTTTTCACTATCTCTATGGCATTCACGAGAAGCTCCTGTTATTTCACATTAGCAGCAGTGCAGAAGAGGAGCGGAGAGCAAGGGACACAATGCAGGATGTCTTGGGTTTGAGGCTGGCTTCTCCACTCAAGTCTCCTAACTCCTAGATTTATTACAAAGTGAGAATAATAGTGGTACTTGCCTCAAAGGGTAGTTATGAGGATTAGCGGACATTATGAAGGTGCTTCAGTAGGGTAAGGGGCTTTTAAGGACATCTATTGTTTTGTCTGCCCAGCTTCTATGAGACAGAGAGCAACTTTCGCTTACTAGTGGGAGCATAAATAGAAAAGACACACGCACATGAGGCAGGAGAGTCCTGAAGAAACCGTGAGGGAACCATGAATATGAGGAACCAAAATGCAGAGAAGCAAGGATGTGGGCTGTTTGTCACCAGAATACTAGGAATTGTCACATTTTTATCCCAGAGGGGAAAGAAGATAACCCAGTGTATTAGTTTTCTGTTACTGCATAACAAATGACCACAAACTTAGTGGCTTAAGACAAATTTATTCTCTCACAATTTCTGTGGGTCAGGAGTCCAGGCATGGCTTAGCTGGGTCCTCTACTCAGGGTCTCACAATCTGAAATCCAAGTGTCTGGCAGGGCTGTGGTCAGGTGAAGCTCAGGGTCTTCTTCCGAGCTCATTGGTTGTTGGCAGAATTCAGTTCCTTGTGGTTGCAGGACTGAGGCCCTCAGCTTCTAGAGGCTGCCTGTCATTCCCTGCGGCATGGCGCCCTCTACAACATGGCAGTTTGCTTCTTCAAGGCCAACAGAGGGATCTCATTCCAGTCTTCCACTTTGGACTCTCATATAACAAGGTAACCAAGGAGCTACTGTCCCACCACACCCATGGTCCTCTCCACATTCAAGGGGAGGGAGTTATACAGGGTGTGTACACCAGCGGGTGGGAATCTTCAGGGCCATCTTATAATTCTGCCTACCACACGCACTCCCAGGGTGGCACCAGAATCTTTCAGATCTTGAGCTGTTTTCTAGCCTCCTGGAGTCCTCATTTCCTGCACAATTCCTATCTCTCTCATTGCTAAGTATTGTAACTTCTCGAGTGAGTCAAAAGACCCTATTTAACACGTATAAGAAGGAAACATAAAACTATCTTTTCTGATCTGAGAAATGAGCATTTCTGGTGAAAAACAAAAAAAGCGCGCTTCAGACATTTCCTCTTAATTATTCCTGATTTAAATATTAGTACTGAATTTTGATTTGAGCAAAAGAGTGACTGCATGGCCTACAACCATAGTTACTGTAAAGTCAGACTTTTTCTTTAAGTAGAAAGCTTCAAAACCATTTCATTGTCTGAGGATTTAGATGGAAGAATATTTTTTTTTTACAATAAATTTCACTTCAAAATTAGTCAATGAGGCTACAATAGTTTTCTCTATTTTCCTAATTCACTATGTAATTTTTCAATTTGTGGGGAAGCCAGAAGATGGATTTCTTTGTAGGAAATGAAACGTTATATAAATATTTTCTGAGAAGTGGCCCACACAGATAACATTAATTACAAGTGATGAAATGGTATAACCTTCTGACATCTAATTGTGGTTGTGTTTTAGTGTATTGATTGATGGAATCCAATTTCCTTTTTACTTTATTTAAACCGATCTTATACTTCCTGAGCAAAAAGCTTAAAACTGAGCAAACATGATAAATAAGACGAATGTGCATGAAGTACACATTCCTTTCCAAACTGGAAAGTACATACATTCCTTTTGTTATTTCCTACGTGGCCAGCTAAGCACAGACTGTACTTGTGAGTAAGTCAAGAATAAAGTAATAAACTCCAAGTATGCACTGTTGAAAATTAATTGATATATGTGAATTTTCACGTGGACAAGATTGCGCGGGAAGTCAGTACTGATGCCAAGCACAGAAATGACTGCTCCTCCTCTGTTTGGGTCTGCTTGTGGCCTTTCCTCTCGTGGTGGCATTAATGTGCTGCAGGAGTCAGCTGGACAGAGACACCCCCAGGCCTCTGTCATTGGGGCAGGATATGCTCCAAATTTTCTAATGTCATTGTTTTTGCAATGGGCCTGGATCTCTTGTCCTCCGACACTAACTCTCAACACAATGGGACTGATCTGCCCAATTTGCTCTTTCTTGATCTCTTTCTTTCAATCTGAAGGCAGCCCAGATACAGGTGATGAGAGAACACCTGCTTCTATTTCACTCCCAGTTGTACTGGTACTTAAGTGACAACATTTGCAGGACAGGTAGGCCCACAGGGTTCCTAGGAAGATGGAGCCTCTGAGCTGGACGTGACCACTTCTGACCCTAGAAGGCTGGCCCCAGCTCCTCCAGGTCTCTCTGGTCACCAGCATCTCTGCTTCCCTGCAGGTGGCCAAAGGAACCGAGTGGACTTTCTATTCCTGGTGGTCCCTCATACTCATGTTCAGCCAAGAACATCCCACAACAAAACTCCCTGGGTCCCAAGCCACACAGCTTTTGGTGTCACATCTCTTTCCATTACCGTAGGTAGCCATTTGCCTTTTAGCACATTCGCTGTGACAGAGTGGCTGGAGCAATGGGGTGCCAGCATCAGCTGCACACTTGGTCCAGCATCAGCAGTTTTTCTACTTGGGCCTTGCTGTTGTGTGTGGATCCATCATCCAGAAGCCCCTCCCCATCATTATGATGAATGTCTCTATTGTTCTTTTCTGTCCTTGGGCGTCCCATAGGATTATGCTAGTTCATCAGGCATATGTTGCAATCTTTGGCCCTTAAACAGAAGGAGTCAGGCTCTAATCCCTTTTCTTCTAGGTCCTCTGCCCCTTTGTAAATTCTTGGTTGCAAAATGATACGCAGGGAAAGACAGCACCCAGTAACTTCAATGGCTGAAGTGCAGACAGATATGCTGGTGGCAGGTGACATCTATCTCCTCCACCAGTGGTGTCCAAGACTCAAGATCTTGCCATGCCCTACATTACGTGGAATAACAAAGGGATTTGAGTTGGATCTATATGGTGATGACTGAGTGCTCACAACATTCTAAGTATAGTGCCACTTACTTGCAGGTAACAGTGGTTCTGCTCTCCGGAATCCTCTCTTGACTGGATTCCATGTATTTCCTTTTATGTGTTGAAAACTTCCACAATTGCCAAGAAGCTTTGTGTGGCTTCTTTATCAAGTGGTGTGATGACAGAGGGCTTTTTCTCCAACATACTGCCATTGTAGGTAGGGTTCTGTCTCTCTCCTGACTCCAGGGTAATACCTTCATGTTAAAGTGACATTTCTTCCTGGAACATTTACCCTTTGTTTCCTTAGGCGTGGACCTGTTCCTCCAAGTGATAAAATTCAGGTTCTCTAGCCTTAAAAACATTTTCTTCAATGTTTCTGTCCTGTGCTCCTGAAGCAGAACACCTTCTGGTTCTGAGGGAACCACATACCCGCTCTGTATACCGAAAGGGTGTCTGCCAGTGCCTGCTCTTTGTGACTAGAGATGAGATGCTGAAAAAATATCACAATCCTGGGGCAGAGAGGAGCTGAGCCAGAAGTTGCCAGATACTGTAGGAAGGAAAACTATATTTAGCAAGGATAAAATAGTCTTAGCCTACTTAGTCAGTACCTTTTTTTTTTCTGCTTCTATACATTTACTTTTTCTGGACGTTTTATGTAAATACAATCATATAATATGTGGTCTTTCTCCCAATTTTAGAGGGGAAAACATTCAGTCTTTCACCAATAAGTATGATGCTAACTGTAGGTTTTTCATAGAATCCTGCTATCAACTGGATAAAATTCTTTTCCATCTCAGTTATTGAGTCTTTTTATCATGAATGGATGTTAGACATTATCAAATGCTTTTCTTGCATGTATTGAGATGATCGTGTGTTTTTTTTCCTTTATTTATATTATTCTATTAAAATTATTTTACATTGGGGGCCGGCCCCATGGCTGATTGGTTAACTTCATGCACTCTGCTTCAGCAGCCCAGGGTTTCACCAGTTCGGACCCTGGGCATGGACATGGCACCACTCAACAAGCCATGCTGAGGTGGCATCCTGCGTAGCACAACCAGAAGGACCTACAACTAGAATATACAACTATGTACTGGGGGGCTTTGGGGAGAAGAAGAAGAAGAAGAAGAAAAAAGAAGATTGGCAACAGATGTTAGCTCAGGTGCCAATCTTTAAAAAAAAAAAGGGGCCAGCCTGGTGGTACAGCAGTTAAGTTCGAATGTTCCACTTCAGCAGCCTATGGTTCACCAGTTCAGATCCCAGGTATGGACGTGGCACCACTTGGCAAGTCATACTGTGGTAGGCATCCCACATACAAAGTAGAGGAAGATGGGCAGAGATGTTAGCTCAGGGCCAGTCTTCCTCAGCAAAAAGAGGAGGATTGGCAACAGATGTTAACTCAGGGCTAATCTTCCTCAAAAAAAAAAATAAATAAAATTAAAAAATAAACAAGAAAAAATTATTTTACATTGATCGATTTTTAGATATCAAGCCAACTTCGTATTTCTTGGAGAAATCCTACTGGGTCATGGTGTATAACCCTTTTTATATGTCGTTGTATTCATTTTGCTAATATTTTGTTGAAGATTTTTGCATCAAGACTCATGAAGAATATTGGTCTGTACTTTCCTTGTGATGTTTTTGTCTGGCTTTAGTGTTAGGGTAATACTAGCCTCATGGAATTAATTGGAAAGTGTTCTTTCCTATATTTTGTGGAAGAGTTTTTGAATGATTGGTGTTATTTGTACTTTAAATGTTTTATACAATTCACCAATGAAGACATCTGAGCGAAAGCTTTTCTTTGAAGGAAGATTTTCAATGACTAATTCAAATTCTTTACTTGTTATGGTCTATTCATGTTTTCTCTTTCTCCTTCAGTCAGTTTCATTAATTTGTGTCTTTCTCTGAATCTTCCTATTTCATTGAAATGGTCTAATTTGTTAGCATAGAGTTGTTCATATCATGTCCTTACAATCCTTTTAATTTCTGTAAGGTTGGTAGTGATGTCTCCTCTTTCATTCCTGGCTATAGAATTTGTATCTTCTCTTTTTGTTGGTCAGACTAGATCAGGTTCCTCAACCTCAGCACTACTGATATTTGAGCCCAATAATTTTTATTACGGAGGGGCTGTCATGCAATGTAGAATGTTTAGCAGCATCCACCCTGACCTCAGGCAACCACTCATCTGCTTTTTGTCACTGTGGACTTAGCTTACACTTTCTAGAATTTTGTATAAATGATATCATGCAGTATGGACTCTTTTGTGTCTGGCTTCTTTCATTCAAAATAATGATTTTAAGATTCACGTATGTTGTTGTGTCAGTGGTTCATCCCTCCTCCTACCCTAGCTTTTTTTCCCCCTTAATACTAAGTAGTGTTCTATTGTACGGATATTCTACAGTTTGTTTATCCATATCTGTTGATGAATATTTGGGTTGTTTTCAGTTTTTGGTTATTATAAATAATGCTACTGTCAGCATTCATGTATAACTCTATATGGACTTCTGTTTTCATTTCTTTTGTGTGAATACCTACGAGTAGATTGGATCCTATGGAAGGCGTATATTTAACTTTTTAAGAGCCTGCCAAATAGTTTCTCTAAGTGGTTGTACCATTTGCATTCCTACCAGCAGTGTATGAGGGTTCCAGTTGTGCCACATCCTTGGCAATGTTTGGCACTGTCAACGTATATCACATTTTCCCAAAGTGTGAATTCACATAAAATAATGGTTGCAAATGTATAAATTATGTGTATTACAAAAAATTCTGGAGAATTTTTGTTTTGGTGACTGAAGAAGTTTTTGGACCTCTTCCTTCCTTTCCTTCTCTCGTATTATATTAAATTGGACACTTAGGAAAGAAAATTCATATTTTTCAAGTCACTAGAGGACCCTTAAACTCACTACAGATGAGTTTAACAAAAGGCATCACTTTTAGCATCCTGACAGGAAAAATTTTATTTCTTAAATCTCTAAATTACAACTGGAGAGGAATGGAGAAGAAAACTAAAGCGATTAAAAATTGTATTTGGGAGAAGGGGGACTAGGTTGGAACATGGTGATTTCCTTAATAGTTATTATACACGGTCACATTGCTGTCCTCAAAGCATAGATTTCAAAGGCTGGGCGTCTAGATTAAGCCTCATCACATCTATTAACCTCTCAAATGCTTTCCTCTCAGTTTTCCATTTTCCAGTGTTGCTCTAGCCATGTTAACAGGACTTCTAAGAGACCAAAGGTCATAAGAAGTTGGCAGCAGCCGTGACTCATTCTCTACTTTCCTCTTTAAGGCTTGATGCTGCCCATTACTGCCTTTCCTCCTAAGTTATCAGCAAAGAAAGCAGCTGGAGTGGAGTAAAGGGGTGGGCATCCTGGGTGAGTAGGAAGACATGGGTGGATGGTCACTGAAGTACTGTCTGGTCATAGTGAGTACTCTCGGAAGTCTTGAGTTCATGAGAGCTCCCCTGGACATATGGTGATGGCATATGAGAAAGTGTGGGGCTCCAATGAAAGGTGAATGTGTAAAAGGAGAGAGAAATGAGAAAAGAGGAAGAGGGAGAGGAAGAGAAAAGAGAAGGAAAGATTTTGTGACCACAGAAAAGGGCTTTTTATTTATTTTTTTTGGAGGAAGATTAGCCCTGAGCTACCATCTGCTGCCAATCCTCTTCTTTTTGCTGGGGAAGACTGGCCCTGAGCTAACATCTGTGCCCATCGTCCTCTACTTTATATGTGGGATGGCTTGACAAGTGGCGCGTAAGTCCACACCCAGGATCTGAACCCATGAACCCCAGGCCGTCAAAGTGGAAAGTGCAAACTTAACCACTGCGCCACTGAGCGGGCCCCGAAAAGAGCTTTTTCAAAATACTAAAACAATATAAAGCAAACTTTCCCATTTTGACATTAAAAATCCTCACTCTGACCTCTGCCTGCTCCTGCAGTGGCATTTTTGGTGGGGGAGTACCAGCACCATAGGAGTGACCTGTATACCCGGATGTGTCCATGCATCCTTTCCCGAATCACAGCAAGCGCAGGATGGAGGAGGGTGAACGGGAGGAGGAGTCCTGGCTTGGGATCAGAAACATGGCTCTTCCTCTCACCAACCTCAACTCCTCCGGGGCCTCGGTTTCCTCATCTGTAATGCAGCAGAGATAACATCCTTATAAAGGACTATTGTGAGATCAAAAGGAGATGATGTGAAAGTTGACACTCAATAAAGCCTTTTCTATTCAGAGTATTTTCACATTTTCCAGTTTGGCAGCCATATTCATGAGAGCTCAGTTTTGGACAGTCTCTTAATGGGTCTTCAAGGGCGTAGCGGGAATATAGAATTTGAAACATTTCTTCTGGGTGTCTTTGACTTCCACTGTTTTGGTTATTAGCAACCCTGGTACTTGCAGACAGGCAGCACTAGAAGGACTGTGGCTCACAAAAGCTTAATTCTTTCCACTCAATTACTGACGCTTAGCATATTTTAGTTACCCCTCATTTGAGATTTCATACTATCTGGCCTCGCAGAATTGTACTGTCTGCCTTTCCCTCTTGAGGATTCTCTACAGCTTTTCTCCAGTAAACCCTGCAATGGGCTTTGTTATCAAGATGCCTGCTGTTTCCATGCCTACAAGTTCTGTTTTCCAAACTGGCTGTTCTCAGGCTGGCAAGAGTGAGCTGATTTAACTCCACAAACATTTTAAACTTGAAAGCTTAAATGGCCAGGGGTGCTCCCACAGGTCCTCCGCAGCCTTCTTTTTTTAAGGTCAAGGTTTCTGCTTTCTTTATAAATATAATGATTTCCTGTAATCCTCTGAGATGTAGCATCCATCAGAGGCTTTTCTGCAATTGTCAACACAAAAGCCTGTCTTCCCACTTGCCCTCCTTTCCAGAATCCCTTGAATGCTTTGATCTCTGACTGTTTTTTTCAGTGATTTTAGTTTCCAGAACTTTTACCTGTTCTGAATGAACATGTAATCCTTGAACTCCCGTGGCGATGGCTTCCCATGGCGTCTGACACTGAAGACTAAAAATAGAAAGATGAAGACCAAAGCATTCTCCAAGAAAATCGAATAACGTAGCTGGATTATTCCTGGTTATCTTACAGATATCCCTGTGACCAGACGTCTCCAAATGGCGATGAGATCATTTCTAGTCGCCTTTTAATCTGTTGGCAGCTGACTTCTGAAAGAGTCTTGAGAGTTTTTTCTTTTCTCCCCAAGCCAAAGGCAGCCAGCAGTTTCGAAACTTTCTCCACTGGATCGTCATTTTGACATTCACAAGTAACTTTCTAAGGTTTATTTGCCTTTCTTTCCTCATTTCAGGCTTGTTTGTGGGGGAGGGGGAGTGGGAGGCAGGGTTCTACTTTTTCGCAGTGGTTGCTAAGAAAGAATCTTCTCTGTTTATAGGCCCTAACAAATAGTGACAGCTGAAAGACAAATATGGTGTTGTGTTTGCCGGAGGATGGAAGGAAGCCAGCAATTAGCAGCCTCTGAGCACAAACACTCACAATGAGGCCTTTCAGAGCATTGGCTGGCATTATGCTTCCACAGATTGCTTGAAATAATTTAAAAAGTTGTTTGCCTCAAGCCTTCAATGACAAATTTATTTCCAGAAACCAGCCGGGGTTGTATAACTTGATAGGATTGTAAAATGACATAGTCTTTTCTTTCTCAAAGATACTTTTGCTTTATGGGAGCCAAATCTCAGCATGATTGTATCCATTTTCAGAACAGGATTCTTTGACCTTTCGGTCAGAGGCTGGAGTGTCATAAATCAATAAAGGGAAGCCAGGAGTGGGTTCATTCATGTTCACCTTTCTCGTCCTTTTTGGAGGAGGGGGATTTACTCAATTCTGGCGTTATTGTCCTGGAGTAGGATTGTGTCAATTGGCCTGGAGTTTAGAAAAGCATTATGCAAGGAAAAGAGAAAAGAAATGTGTCTTTCTACCTAACAGTAATATATAAACGGGTATTTGGGTTCTTTAGTTCATAATTATTGTATAAAAGACATAGCTACCTGGGATAAAATAGAAGGCCCTTAAATGATGCTTATAGAAAAGGAGGCCTAGTGGAAGTGGGGTGAGCGTCTAGTCTTTAGTCAAGGAAAGCAGAGAGAGGTCAGAGTAGCAGTGGGTGGTGTTGGGGAAGATGACGACAGTGAGGCCGTCTTCTAATGTCCTTTACACGTGTATCAATCCATTCAGTCCTCATCATGGCCCTCACAGGTAGGTTCTGTCATCTCAATTTACGAGGAAACAGAGGGCATAGATAACTTGTCCAAATACTGAGTAAGTGGTGGAGCTGGGGTCTGAATCTAGATAACGTGGTTCGGAACCATGCACTATGTTGCCTCTATTGGGATATCAGTGGTTCCCGAAGCCTCCACTTTTGTTCTCCATCTTTTCCTTTTCTCGACAGCACTTCTGGTTCTGGGGAGACTGCCCTGAAAAAGCTTTGGCACCGACTTAGTACGGAGAATGCCTTGCTTGCCTCTCTGCTTTTCCCCTAAACCTCCTCTGCACACAGTGTGTGTGTAGAATCCCAAAGTGACTTGGGAGGAAGCATATGGAACTTTGATGTGAAAAGAACAGTAAAAGATTTAATGTTAATTTTTTTTCAACACAGTACACGGTACAAAATCTGAACCACTACTCCTCATTTTCTTTTTTAACTCACAAGCGCCTGAATTTATTTACTCCTGGGTCTAAAGTATGTAAGAAACTATCCACAGGCACATGGCGTTGGGGGTCAACCAGGCATCAGTGGAGAAAAATTCGAGTTCCTATTGCAGAGAATTCAATCCTGTTGGAGAGCTGAGATATGTATATGTCAGTAGAAAACTGATTAAGCAGGGCTTGCCCTTGCCTTCGGGATGAAATTCAAACTCCTAGCCAGCAAGGCCCCCATGCACCTTTTCATCCTCTGACAGATGATTCTGCAAATGTGATTGTCTTTACCTTTAATTCCTTCCAGCTCTTCTTCCCCCAGAAACCTCTAGTGTATTTTTTCTCTTTTACTAACTCAGATGATCATGCAATACTTTACACACTTGTTTAAAAAAAAACTTGAAGTGCAAAATACTGGGAACATGAATTTCCATAAACAGGAACCTACTTTTTTTTTTTTTTGAGGAAGATTAGCCCTGAGCTAACTACTGCCAATCCTCCTGTTTTTGCTGAGGAAGACTGGCCCTGAGCTAACATCCATGCCCATCTTCCTCTACTTTATACGTGGGACGCCTACCACCGCATGGCTTTTGCCAAGCGGTGCCATGTCCACACCCGGGATCCGAACCAGCAAACCCCAGGCCACTGAGAAGTGGCACGTGCAAACTTAACCCCTGTGCCACCGGGCAGGCCCCTAGGAACCCACTTAAAAGTGTTTGGGGACAATGGAGACTTCTCTTCATTTTATACCCCCTTGTTCCACATGAATATGTAGTAAAATTTGCATAGTATTATATTCAAAATGAAATCCAGCTAATTAGAAATAACAAGACTTCAATTTCTTTTCATTTTTATTGAGACTCATTTGTGTGACACGGGTCTTGGGAAGCTTCTCACCTGGGCTGTGAAGGGCAGGTGGATTTATAACAATGAGAGATGACACACGTACAGTGGGTTATAATGCAGGCCACAAATGCTCCATTGCCAGCAAGGTTCACCTGTTATGGGAGCACAGAACAAGCAGAGAGGGGTGGGGAGGGGTGGGTGCATTGAGAAAAGCTTTACAGGGGATATAATGGTTTAGCTGAGTTTTGAAGGATTTAGTCACTCTTTCAAAAAATATTGTTGAATGCCTACTATCTGCTAGATTCTATGACAGATGCAGGGCGTACAGTGGGGAAAAACAGCCCAGGCCCACCCTCAGAGTGGACACAGAAGTGATGAGAGGATCATGGGCAGACAGAGGCCTGGAGTTGGCACGAGGAGGCTGCATGGGCAGTCGTCTGGATGGCAGGAGGCAGTGTCAGGCTCAGGTGCCAACAGCAAGGGAAGCTGTCTTCTGCTAAGAGTCCAGTTAGGACCAGTTGTCCTGAAGGACACTGATCCAGAGCCCAGTGTTGTCAGGCCACCACCCTGCAGAAGCCAGCAGAGGAGGACAGCCCATCCTCCCACCAATTGCTAGGAGGACTCATAAGATTTCCCCTGTACCCAGATCAACCTGGGAAGGAAGAAGGAAGGGGAGAAACAGTCTCTTAACAAGTGTACTTTGAGCTTAATGAGTCTTTACCAAAATTAAATTGTCTTAAACCGGAATTGTCTGAGATATTATTGATTGCCAAATTTGAGCCAGTGTAAATTTTTGCTGCCACCCAACAGGGTTGGAGTTCAATCCGGTTGGTTGCACAGTGTATAATTCAATTGGAATGAAATATCCAAAACAGGCAAATGCATAGAGTCAGAAAGTAGATTAGAGCGTGCAGGGGCTGGGAGGAAGGGAGAGTGGGAGATGACTGCTAATGGGTATGAGGTTTCTTTTCGGGGTGACAAAAATATTCTGGAATTAGATAGTGGTGATGGTTGCACAACTTTGTGAATACACTAAAAACCACTCAATTTTACACTTTAAAGGGATATAGTAAGTGAATTATATCTCAATAAAAAATACATGAAAAACATTAGATTGGTTAAAGAAAATAAGGAAACTGATTTTCTTCACACATCTGAGTAGCAATGTGAGTAAAGTCCATTCTATATGGTAATTGTTAATCAAATATTGATTTTCCAAACATCCTAATCTGCTACCATGTTGCATATCAGTTTGTATCTAGCTTACATTATTTCTACCAATAATAAATGTAGTAAAAAATTCAACTGGTAATCAGAATTCAACTACCACTTGAAACAAAAAGTACTTAGATAATTACTCAAAAATAAGTTAATTCACAAGGTGTATAAACTCAATGTGAGATGACATGTAAATTCAAATACTTTTGGGAAAGTCAGTGTTTTTCCCTTTTGAGCTCAGTCATCTTTTTAAGAAATGATAAACATTATGTTCTAAATCAGAGTACTTGTTAAAAACATATGCATTGTACTTCTTACTGCCATTAAATACACTTATTCAGTACAAATTTTGAATTTCTAAAATTTTTCTTCTTTACTTTTAGTCTATTTATATTTTTATCACTGAAAACTTGTGTGTGGAAAATAAATTACCGCCATTCAGTTTTAAGAGAAAGACTAAAATGGGCCATTTCTTATACTGTTTTTATCATTCCCGCAGTTGGTTTGGCTTAAAGCCTCATGGTCATCTCAGACTCCACCATTTCCTTCAATCTCTGAATCCAGTTAGCGGCCAAGGCTTGCTTGTTTAATTTTTGTAACCCTCTCATCTGTGTCCCACTGCTGCTGCCCTGATTTGGACTATCATTTTCCCCAATCCAGACCAAGATGGCTGCTGGCTTCTTGGCTTCCATCTTGCTCCTCCTAAAGTCCCTAGAGTCATCGTCTGAAAGCTTCCTGCTGCCCAGGTCACTTCCTACACATTCTCTCACCATGGGGTTTTTGATTAAATCCTCATTTTCCTCCATGACTTGGTTTATCTTCTTTACAAAGCTATGTCATTTCCAACATTTCTTTCTTTCTATAATTCTACTTTGTGTAAACAGGAAAGTTTCTTTAATGCCTTTTTAGAGGAATCATTCTTCTTTTTGAACCTCCTTGATCATGTATCACTCATTTTTCCTGGAGAGTGAGAGTTATCCTTGTCAGTTACCTGAAGTCCTTTCTGGAAGAAGATGGTATAGACATGAACTATGGACACTGATATCTTGATGATTTATCTTGGTCTCCTGGAAGTTCCATGCCCGTGACAGGAACACTGTGTGTACCATAATTATTTTTCTCTGAAGCAACTTGAGTATGTAGAAAAATATGAACTATTATCAATAAAAATACATAGGACATTTTAACTCCTATTCCTCAGTTGTTTCCTATATTTTGCACTAGTTTCTCTTAATTCCCTTCATTAAGTTTCGGTACCTTCTATATCTCCCTCTCCTGGTATCTCCCTGTTTCCCTAGGAATATGTTTCAGCTGACTTTTTTTCTTAAATAACTTTATAATGGAGATAAAATTTTAAAATAATTATTTTTTTTGCTTTCTTGAGTCAAAAACCTTTACTGCCCCCTTCTTCCCTCAGCATTTATTTAAATATGATTTTTGTAGGAGAAATGTCAAAAGACCAAGGTAGTATTCAACATGAATATTATGTGATTCAAAAACAGAATGATGTAAGCTATTGTCTTGCAAGCTGCTTTTTGAGAAAGGCTTCCTGCTTCCCTTTATCAAATGAATAACTGAGCATAGAGGGCTCCATTCTGAGTTTTTTCATAATGCAGAGAAGACACCCTGCATACTTAGCTGGAATAGC